GGGTGTTTCCGTTCCATATCGCCGATGGCACTTTTCTGTCCTTTCATTACGGCGTCCCGGAAACGAAGCGTACCTCGCGACACTTCCGGGGAATATATGGACTTCCTATCTGGGGGATGAAATTGTTTCGCACCCTTATCGAACATCAGATTTTACGCTTCACGGGGAGGTACGAGGGATTTAATGATCACGTTGAATCGGGGAATTCTTTTAAAAGACATTGAACTTCTAGTTTAATGCGACCGTCTGGGGTAATTATACATGCGGTGGGTGGTGGGTGGTGGGTGGTTACCTCCAGGTGGGGGATTTAATGCTAGTGAGACGTGAAGAGATATCACCCCCCTTCCTGTTCCCACAGGAATCCCTGTTTGGGTGGGACGTGAATGCCATAAGGGAGAAGAAATGGCAAGAATGTGTGCGCCGAAAAAAAAAATCCTGTCCACAAAGAAATCCGCGACTCGCTTTTTCCGCCGACCTGCTACGGACAAAATGGCCGACAAGTACACTGATAATGGTCAGGATTGTTGAATCTTGTTAGTGTTCCTAACACTGAATGGCAATTTAATGCACCACCCTTAAACCCGATTTTCAAAATATTTTCCTCCTTTCATCGTAACCATTTTTAAATCTCGTTTAATTTATTGTTTCTCACTTGTAAACCGATGTTCCTCTCGTTAATAGTCTGGAATCCGTGAACATGCCGATGCACCACCTCGAAATTTAATGTTTAGACCGGCGACTCGTTATTAAAAGATCCGAGAAAAATTAGGTAAAATCCGAAGGAAATGTCATATCCATCCCTGGACTTTCCATTTCCTCTAATTGATAGTCACAAATCCGTAGACATTTCGACGCACCGCCTCCAAACTCGATTTTCAGACGGACGACTCTCGTTACCACGAGTCAGCCAAAAATCGGCGAAAAAATTCGGTAAAACCCGGGGGAAGCGTCGTATCCGTCCCTCGATTTTCCTTTTTTTTTTCCCCCTTTTTTCTAATTAATTGTCCCCACAGGCGAACAATTTTCCGGCGTTTCCCGGCGACAGCTCGCGCGGCTCTTTCCGCGCGAATCGAGAGCTCGCGAGGCCGCTTTTCCGGGTCTCCTTTTTTTCCACTTTTCCATCAGGAGCTCGCTTTTAATATCGGAAAACCGGGGTCGTGCACGCAGGAGCCCCCCAACCCTCGAGGGCTGCGGGGGTGGCCAAGCCAGGACGCGGATTGTCGGCGGTTTGTTCGGTTTAATAGTTGAATATATTTCAGTTTCTTTTTAGTACCGCGGGGGCTGTTTGCACCCCGGCACCATTTCGAGTTGCACCCCGCGGATTAATGGCCGGTCGGCCATCGGGCCTGAAAAAAAAACTCCTCGAAACCCCTCGAGCACCCTCGCGAAAAATGCCCAAAGTTCCCAATTCAATTCCAGTTTACTTCCAATTTAAGTTGGCCAACTTGGATTTATCTAATTTCCCGCGCACATTGCCCCTGGGACTTCTTTCCCACTTTCAGGCTGTATTATTCGGGCGCCGGATTTCTGCATCGCCTAATTTCCCAATTTTACCCCGAGGAGAAAATTCTCATTGGACCTAGGATATATTTGAACGGTAGCAAAGAAATTATTCATTGAATTAAGAGAAATATTTCTTTGCTTCCATGACAGTTTCTCCCCCAGGGTGGGAATTTCCACCCTGGGCTCACTTAAAGAAATGCGACAACGAAATCCTGCGATTCAAAGAAATGTCACAAATCGACAATATCGATTTTCCTTCCGAACAAAATAATTGTTTCTTGCTCTTTGCAATTATATGTGATTCAGGCAATTATACGTATACGTGTCAACAATATATATTTATTTCGGTGGATTTTTCTTCTCCGAGTTGTACTTATTTCTTAGAATATATTTAATGAATTTAGGTGCTATTATGGTTATCTATTGTTTAAAATTGTCCGTGGATTTTTGAAGGGGAATTTTCCGTGGGAATTTTCGGGGTCGGATTTCGACTCTGGGGAAAGGTGGAGAGGATCTGCATTTATGAGGGGAAACATTGCAACGAGCGGTGCATGCATCTTGGGGTGTCAATTTTATCGGGTCTTTATGCGCACCCCGAAGGCGATGGAAAACGTAATTTCCGGGCTGGAAAAGCGAGGCTCGCACTGTTGACTTCCACAAAAGAATCCGCGCTCACCCCGAGTGCGGAACCCTGGAAAAGTTGGGGTGCTTTCCGCGAGTGCCGAACTTTTCCCGGCCCCTGGAGAGGGCCAGACCCCCCGCGGAGGAAAGTTCTTTCCGAAAACCTGGAATTTTCGCGCCCTTTCCCAGTTTCCCTCGAGGAGTTCCGGATGCTGATCGGTTTCTAAATACCAACCCTCGGGTTCCTAGCCGAGAGTAACCGCGCGGAAAAGGCGCGAGGGCGCGGAAAACGCGGCCGGAAAACCCGGGAAAGTCGGGAAGGACCCACCTGTGAAGCGGGCTTGTTTCGCTCGGGGAATACTGATTTAACTCACGAGCGTTTTCCAAAGGACTCTCCCTCGGGATACGGATTCATGGGACATATTCCCCCGTCTCTTCCGGGATGCGACTCTTACGCAGCCCTTAGCGCCCGACGTGGCGGGAATAACCGAGCTTTTCAATATCGCGACATGGGGATGTGACCGAAGAGGGTATCTTGGAAATTTCAGAAGAATTAGAGGGTATCTTGGAAATTTTTCATAAACTTATGGTATCTTGGAAATTTTTTATAAATTTATGGTATCTTGGAAATTTTTCATAAATTTATATCTTGGAAAGTTTTCATAAATTTATGTTATCTTGGAAATTTTTCATAAATTTATGGTATCTTGGACATTTTTCATAAATTTATGGTATCTTGGAAATTTTACATAAATATATGGTATCTTGGAAATTTTTCATAAATTTATGGTGTCTTGGAAATTTTTCATAAATTTATGGTATCTTGGAAATTTTTCATAAACATGGTATCTTGGAAATTTTTTCATAAATTTATGGTATCTTGGAAATTTTTCATAAATATATGGTATCTTGGAAATTTTTCATAAATTTATGGTGTCTTGGAAATTTTTCATAAATTTATGGTATCTTGGAAATTTTTCATAAACATGGTATTTTGGAAATTTTTCATAAATTTATGATATCTTGGAAATTTTTCATAAATTTATGTTATCTTGGAAATTGATCATAAATTTGTGGTATCTTGTAAAATGGTAATAAATTAAAGTATCTCGTGAATTTCTGATAAATCTACGGTATCTTATAAAATGTCCAGGTAGTCTTGGAAATTCATTGAGATATTTTTCAAGTAGGATAGGTATATTGTAAAATGACCAGGAAATTATGTAAATGTATCAGCATATCGTGTAAGCAGGATACCGTGCAAATTATCTAGGACATGCCGTAAAATTACCCGGGCATCATGTAAATTTATCAGGATGCCATGGAAATTATTTAGGGTATTCTATAAAATGACCAGGATACCGCGTAAGCTTCCTAGAGTATCTAGCCAATCATCTAGGATATTCAATAAAGCATATAAATTCCCCAGGAGTTTAATCCCATAAACAGAAGCGCGTGAAATGAATTATAAAAAAAAAAAATAAAATTATGAAATCGATTATAAAACCCAACCAAAGCAGAACATCATTTGAATTTTCCCATTGTTATACATGAGCAGCGCAGAAAAATAACCCCTCAGGATAAAATGGATCCTCCAGACAAAGAGTGCACGGCTGAACAATTCGGATAACGATTCCGTGAAATATTCAGGACGCGATTTAATTCGGGAGAACATTTACGCAGCCCTTATCGAGAGACGTGGAAGGAATCCCGAATCGTTCGATATCCCGATACGTGGATAAATACTCAAAGGGACTAAAAAAGCTTCCCCATAAATAATGAAATCCAAACCACTCCCTCCTGTCGAACTAAAGAAAGGAAATGTGCATAAAAGGAAAAATTCTATATCCTAAACATTGTTTGAAAATTCCTGAGAATTTCGTCCTGGGCCGAGCTGGATCAAAGGAAAGCCCCCAAAGTGTTTCCCCGTAAACAAATCGGGAAACGATTTTTCCAAATGTAGGGGGACGCAGGTTATTGCGACATTTTTCCTTTGTTGGTCGCTACTCTCGCCCTTTTCTCCATTTTCCCGAAGGCGAAGGACCGATAAGAAGCGTTTGTCTCGGTTAAGGTGTAGTGAAACATCCTTCAAATCCGTCGATTCGAATACAACACTTTTTTTTAAGGGTATTAGACCAAACTGTCCGAAACTTTGACACATCCCTCCTGATCATCTAAGAATTGTCCTGACACATTGAAAATTTGGATTTTTCAAAAAAATTGTTTAACTCATTCCAGACCAGAACCAAAATGGCGTCGAGCTCTGATATTTCGATCAATATACAATTATCGAAAGCTCTGATATGAGAATCGAAAGGGTCAGGAAAATTTTACGACAATTTAGAACACTCTGGTAATCGATAAACTCGCATTTGAACGGGATAATGGCAAAAAAAGTGTTGTATGCGCTTCTTTGCTAAAACGATGGTAATACAAGGTCTCGGAGTGAAAATTTAATTGACCTGGAAATCACAGATGGCGCAGGGGGTCCCTCCGCAGTCAATTAGGGCCCCAGAAGGCACGAATCCAGAGGATTTCTGGAGTTTTACTTCGATTTCTTTATAATTATTGTACGAAAACGACAGGTGGAATATGCCATTTGGTACAATACACAATATAATTCGACCGAGCTGTCAATATAAAAACCAACGTCGGCAACGTAGGCATTTAGAAAAATCTTCTTTATCGACGTTGATCAAGTTCCTCGACGTGTTTCACTTCACCTTAACGCGCGGAAAGTTGATTTCGGACTTTTCCGATCGGCAGGTCGCGGTCGTTCATTTTATTCCACCCCCTGATTAATTCTCTCGTTTCCCTCGTTTCGCTTCTATTTTCCCACGGGGCTGCCTCGCACGTATTTCGCGCATTCTACTTACAAATTGATCCCGTCGTAGCCAGCTCCGATGCCGACGTGATCCACCCCGGCCACCTTCCGGACGTGGTTGATATGCGCTGCAACAGACGTTCAATAATCATTCGAATTACCGTTAATGTGATAAACAAATGATTTCCACCTGGACATATATCTATATACTCTAGGGCATTTGGTAAAGGTGTCCACACATGTAAATATAAATCCATGAAGACCGATCTGCATAAATTTAACCGAAGGACTCGAGTTAACCGCGCAAGTTGCAAATCGCAGATTAGCCGCCCCCACGTTAAAATTCTCTAAATTAGTATATCAGTATGAATAAATGGAATAAATTACTAAAGTAGGAAACGAATCGTCCTCGTCGATTTGTATAGTCGAGAGACACCGTCTCCGATTTTTTATACAATATAAAAACGATGAAATAGTGATGTTTAAATGGTACTCTTAGGCATTGGATATTTAAGCATATGTTGTTATTGCAAATTTGTGTCGATAGTCTTTTATTGAATATCTCGTATTTGTTCTTCGTTCGTTTTGTGGATGATAGTTGGTATGCAGAGCGAGGAAGGCTAACAGCCACTGATTGAACGTGTTAATAAACAAATGAAGACCCCTGTATATCGGCACCAAACAAATAATATTTCACGGCCCGGCATTATTAACCTCCATTGACGGTTGCTCATCCCGGAGAGAATTTCCTAGATTTATTGAGAGCGGTGCCAATCAATTGCGATTGTGATATCGCCAATAATCGTTACGGCGGATCGAAAGTTGGCCGAACATATGTCGAGGGGATAAAACGGGCGATTGATGCGTACGGTTTAAATGTTTATGGATGAATGGTAAAAAATCCTGAATCGCCTTAAATAACGATATTAAATTCCATTTAAAAAAATCTATAACTCTACGTTTCCTGAAAACTCTGCAAATGGATTAATCTGCCCTCGATTCACGATTTATGCGTCGCTCCATAATCACGCGTTTGAAAATAAAAATCAAAGAATTGTTGAAAAAAAGGAAGAAAAAAATGAAACACGCTTGGTCAAACATTTTGTGTACAATTGTTGCGATTTAGATCTTTTTTATGGGAGGAAAATTAGAAATGTTTATGGATGAATGGTGAAGAAAACCCGAATCGCCTTAAATGACGATATTAAATTCCATTTTAAAAAATCCATAACTCAACATTTTATTCCCGAAAACTCTGCAAATGGATTAATTCTCGATTTATGCGTCGCTCAATAGTCACGCGTTTGAAAATAAAAATCAAATAATTGTTAAAAAAAATGGAAGAAAATAAAATAAAACACGCTTGGTCAAACATTTTGTACACAATTGTTGCGATTCAGATCGTTTTTTATGGGAGGAAAATTGTTCCATCAAGTCGGTAATCGGTTGTTTTGCGACCTTCGATCCAGAATCAAAGGGTGAAACCCTCCCCCACGTCGGGGTGGAGTAAATTGGCATTACTCCGGAGTAGCCAGCAACCAAGGCAATCTGGACCGGAAGCAGTTCCCCGAGTTCGAGTAGAATCGGGAACCGGATCATTCTTTTCCCCGTTTCTCCGGATCTACCCCCGTCTCCGGAAAAACACCTTCCGCTCGTTCGCAACCGCGGGGGCGAAATAAATCCACGAGGGTTCCTCAGGACGCGGTCAATAACAATATTCCAGCATCCCTCCTAATGGAATTTTTCCAAATTGTAAAACTCACAGAAATCCACCTACCGTAAACTGTAACTACTGCGTACCCATGTTTTCCCATTTAATTTAACAATTCCGAGACCGATCGATGTTTTCATCTCAAAGAAGTATGACATTATTATGTTATATTACGACAAGTGTTATGTCATGATAAAATGAATAATTAGAATGACAAAGAAAAATCCTCGCCCGATGTAGAGATTGAGATAAATGAGTCATCTCGATTAAGTCGATTAATGGAAATGTGTAAAAAATTGATTTTTAACAAGTGCTTCGGCACTATTGTTAATTTTAAGAGTGGAGTTAAATCATGCTGCCTTGTGAAGGTCTTAAATAATCCTTGGAATTATTTTCGACGGCCATTATGGCGGTGATTGCGAATGCAGTGTTTTGACGTTACGCAAGTGGGGTTGCAAAATTCAGGAAGAGCGTCGCGACGACACGCTCTATTATTCCTCCATTACACGGCTCCTATTACTTCCCGTTTGGCGAGCATTTCGAAAGCAGAAATGCGTCCTCGCGAAAGACAACGCCACGCGAATGGCTTATTTTTCCGCGACGTCTCCGGTGGCTCGTCTCGAGCCAAGGGGGAAAACCGGGAAATGGCGAAACTTTCGGGAATGAATCCGTAAACCGACACCCCCGAACTCTCGAAGTTTGCAAGAAAAGCGCCTATCGAGATAAAAAATTCAAGATGCACAGACGAATCTGCAAAATAGTTCATACACCGAGGAAAGAGAACTTCCTAGAATCAAGAAGACATTTCTTCCAATAGCACCTAAGAAATGTTTTCTCTAATTCGAAGAATAATGATTTTACTCCAATGAAGTGAAATAATTATTCTTTTGAATTTAAAAAAAAAATATATATATACGCAAAATTCAAAATATTTATAAAATTTTGTATGGCCTGAGAGGGTGAACATCTTAATAGAAATTGTAAATTGGAAGAGAAACAATGTAGAATTTCATTTGGCGAAAGTACTGGGGAAGAGTTTTTTTACGGAGATAAATCGGTATTGGCATTTCTTTTCGCTTTTGGATTTTCTATATTTTTCGAGATCTTTTATACGCTAAGGGGGGGGGGGGGATTCAGGCAAGGGAGTTCGATCACCCTTCAACCGTTCCTGATAACTTTAATTACTACAGTGATATCAAACCCGGGGGGGGGGGAGGGGGAGGCATCGATTCTAACGCTGTCAATTCGACTCCATGAATCAATCGGCGTCGACGTACAGTCGAAATCGGAAAATTCCACGGCTTCGTATTGATTAAATTACCGACAATTTCAGTTTGCCCTGAATATTCGACAGCGGCACTCTGTTAAAATCTACGCCAATTAAGATTTAAATTAAAATTAGACACGCGTGTAGATAAAATGTACACGCCCCCAGGGTCGCTTTTAAAGGTGGATTTTGGAGTGAAAGTTAAAGTATATCGGGTTTAATCGTTTCTTGTTCCTGTAATCGAGGCATCATTTTCCGAGGGGAAATTTCACCGCTCTCGGGACTTTTCCCAGCCTTCTTAAGGAAGATACCATTTTATTGGCTGCATAAACCCTTTCTTTGAGCGCATGCAATTTGGATACGTATTGGCTGTTGAATAAAAGAACGTATGGAGTCTTGAAGCTCTTTGATCTTCGGCCAATAAGAAACGCTCAGATGGTACTGCACTTCATTCTTATGCAACCGCCAAATATTTTTATGCCGTTTAAGGATGATTCAATATATTTCATGAATTTTTCCTGGATCGATCCAGCCATTCCTTCCGTGGGATAACTTTAGTTAAAAATTAATCCAGTGAGCGGACTCTATACAAAAAGATAATTCGTACCTACAAAATTTCCAACTGATAATCTATCACGTGATAATTCATTTTATCAATTTCTAAATGTATGTTCATCATCGATCGTCTCGTTAGTCCTTTATTAATCTATTTACTTGTATCACGAAGAGCCCGGACGACATTTCTATGTCGAAGATTATTGCGTTGTCCTTTTAAAAAAAAATATTTTCGTCCAAAAATTAACGCTCAGAATGACTTAAAGTCTCCATTCTATGAGGCTTATAAATTTCATGAAATACTTAAAAAATCCTTAATCATTAGGTGCACTTATTATNATTAGCTAGTCCGTCAATTTGACGGGTTTCGTAGAGATAGGTATACTACATACAGATTTTAATAATTAGAAGGCTTAGGAAAAAATAATTGTATGTACAAATTATTTGGATGAAATGATTAATTTACGATACAAAAATGATTAAAATTAATGCTATGGTTTTTTCGGTATTTCTTTTTGGAGTTTGAATTCCGTCAAATTGACGGATCCCGTAAACCTAGTGTTAATAAAGGTTATGCCCGAAAAGAGGTTATGTCGGATCCTTAGAAGGATAGCTAACTCCATCCTTGGTCAGGGATGATCCGTAGCTCGGTGTCGACTCGGCCGCAATATCCCCGTCGAAATTGGCAGGTTTCCGCAGACTTCGGAACTTCATTCTGGCCACCAAAGGGTGCCAGCTCAGGGAAGATATCTTCCCTCCTGGGTTTTACGTGCCGGCCAGGAACCCGGGACTTTTAACCCCTGGAACCCGAGGTGGTACCCGGATGAAAGAGCGCGGATAACCGCGTGATATGGCGCGATTAGCTTTTTTTATTCCGCCGATTTTCCGCGCTCTGGTATCTCTTCCAGCTCGGATGATATTCCAATAGGCGGTAAAGTGGTCAGGAAAAAAATGGAGCACGATCACATCGGCGGAATATTGTTCATCCAATTAAGGTGAAGTGAAACATCCTTCAAATCAGTCGATTCGAATACAACACTTTTTTAAGGGTATTAGACTAAACTGTACGAAACTTTGACACATCACTCCTGATCATCTAAGAATTGTCCTGACACATTCAAAATTTGGATTTTTCAAAAAAATTTTTTAACTCATTCCAGACCAGAACCAAAGTAGCGTCAGGCTCTCATATTTCGATCAACATACAATTATCGAAGGCTCTGATATGAGAATCGAAAGGGTCAGGACAATTTTACGAGAATTTAGAACACTCTGGTAATCGATAAACTCGCATTTGAACGGGATAAAGGCAAAAAAAGTGTTGTATGCGCTTCTTTGCTAAAACGATGGTAATACGAGGTCTCGGAGTGAAAATTTAATTGACCTGGAAATCACAGATGGCGCAGGGGGTCCCTCCGCAGTCAATTAGGGCCCCAGAAGGCACGAATCCAGAGGATTTCTGGAGTTTTACTTCGATTTCTTTATAATTATTGTACGAAAACGACAGGTGGAATATGCCATTTGGTACAATACACAATATAATTCGACCCAGCTGTCAATATAAAAACGAACGTCGGCAACGTAGGCATTTAGAAAATTCTTCTTTATCGGCGTTGATCAAGTTCCTCGACGTGTTTCACTTCACCTTAATTACCTGGCGTCAGATCTTTAAATCGGCCTCATACGTCCGTGCTTAATATCAATAGTTTGCAACTCTCGGATTTTTAGTAGATATGTAAATTATCAATTTTATGTCATTACATCAATTACATCATTACATTAATAGTTTGCATCTCTCGGATTTTTAGTACATAGGTAAATTACCAATTTTCCAAGATATCCGCTCGTACCATACCGCGGCGTTTGGGGACGAGATCGTGAGATGAAAAATGATGTCAAAGGGTGGAGAGTTTTTGACATTTTAACCGAGCTGCGAGACTGCGGATCTCTTTTTAGGAATGATCCGAGGAAGATGGTCGGGGGCACTTTTTGAGATTAACGAGGCGCCGGAGGTTGGCCGTGTCTCGCCTTTTGGAAATTCCCGCTCCGGTGCAGCCGGCGAGAGTTGTGGCCACTTTTCGAAATTAACGGGGGCACCAGATGCGCTTTCCACCTTGCGGCTTGCTCTAGCTGGAGGAAAGGCGCTTTTCCCGATCCTGGGAGACAAATGGCGCCGGGGATTTCTCCTTGCGTGTCGATAAACGATTCGAATAATTATTGCCAAGCCGCCGCAACACGCGGTACCGAGACTGCATTTAACGAGCCTTTCCTCGGATTCAATAAAGCATCGGGCCGATTCCAGAGCTCAAAATTACTGTTTACACGCGAGGGTAAATCACGATTTTTCTTCCAGAATTTAGGGGGCCTCTTTCAGTGAATTTTCACGGTGATAAAATTTATCTAAACCGAGACTGTCCCAGATATTTATTATCCATTGTCCACCATCGCTCGAGGATTTTCTTTCAGATTATTAATTTCCTCTCGTTACGTGATGAAATCAGTCATAAACGAGGAATACTCACCGGCGACATCCTGCAGTGTCGACTTTTCGCCGCAGCTAATAAAGTGGGGGTAGAAGGAGACCATGACGATGCCCCCGGTTTGCGCCTGCAAATAAATGAGCTCATTAAACGAATGGTGAGGTACCATTGGGCTAATTAGTTAATTAAAAATATACATGAACGAAATAAAAATAATTGATGATTACTCACGAGAAGCCGCAGGGCATGGTCGGGCACGTTTCTGGAGGAGTTGCAGAGTGCATGGGCGCTGCTGTGACTGAAAATTACTGGGGCCCTGGATGCACCCATTGCATCCAGCATGGTAGGCACCGACACGTGGGATAGGTCCACCATCATCCCCAGGCGATTCATTTCCAGGACGACGCTCTGAAACAGGTAGGACACGTCGATCCTGTGGAGTTCGGGGTGGAGGGCTCCGAAATTGCGCGATTTAACGCTGCCCGCCTCCTGGTTAGGACGGGAAGGGATTCTGGGAGACGTGGGAGTCCTGGATCAAGGGACAGGAGGGTCCCGTGATATCTGGGAGTCCTGGACCAGGACCAGACCCACGTTAGGCCGGTGACACTTATTGCGCGGACCGCCCTTTAAATTGAATCCCAGGACTCGGGGTAGTGGCCGGATTTCTCGAGAATTTCCGAATTTCAGAACCTACGAAATTCCCTAGGGAAAAACCGCGACTATGGAAGAGAGAAAAAAAAAGTGGGGGAATTGTGTAGCGTGTCCTTTTTGGACTGGCAATTATTTCACAGCTTGCAGTGGCGATGTGTAATCGTAAAATTTATCCAAGATTACCTTACTATTTTTTTCCTCAGGGCGGGAATTAAAATAGAAATTTCTGAGGCGTCTGGAGGGCTCCAGAAATTTTCTAGAGGCTATTCGGGACTCCAGAAGTCCTGCAGGAATTTTTAACCCTAAGAAATACCTCTTTCGAGGACCTCTGAAATTTTGCGGCGACTTTTTAAGGACTCTTAAGGTGAAGTGAAACACGTCGAGGAACTTGATCAACGTCGATAAAGAAGATTTTTCTAAATGCCTACGTTGACGACGTTGGATTTTATATTGACAGCTGGGTCGAATTATATTGTGTATTGTACTAAATGGCATATTCCACCTGTCGTTTTCGTATAATAAATATCAAGAAATCGAAGAAAAACTCCAGAAATCTTCTGGATTCGTGCCTTCTGGGCCCTAATTGACTGCGGAGGGACCCCCTGCGCCATCTGTGATTTCCAGGTCAATTAAATTTTCACTCCGAGACCTCGTATTACCATCGTTTTAGCAAAGAACCGCATACAACACTTTTGTTGCCTTTATCCCGTTCAAATGCGAGTTTATCGATTACCAGAGTGTTCTAAATTGTCGTAAAATTGTCCTGACCCTTTCGATTCTCATATCAGAGCCTTCGATAATTGTATATTGATCGAAATATGAGAGCTCGACGCCATTTTGGTTCCGGTCTGGAATGAGTTAAAAAATTTTTTTGAAAAATCCAAATTTTCAATGTGTCAGGACAATTCTTAGATGATCAGGAGTGATGTGTCAAAGTTTCGGACAGTTTGGTCTAATACCCTTAAAAAAAAGTGTTGTATTCGAATCGACTGATTTGAAGGATGTTTCACTTCACCTTAACAATTCGACAGGGAGTACCTGTTTATGATTAGCTGAAAAGAACTATTTGGAAATTTTGGGGGGATTTTCCGTGGTCCTTTAATTTTGTCGCGGGGTCGTTTAATCAGGACTCGAATCGTTTTGCGCGTTTGCAAAATGCACTTTCGCCTCGCGGAAGAGGAATCCTCCCGGAAATGGCAGGCGCGTACGAGTCGGGGGATTCTTGAATGGATTTCCCACGGTGGGTGCGCATTTCCCGCACATTAAACATCCAGTTAATGCTTTGCGAGTGCAGTGGCGAAGGTTCAAGCATTAGTTACCGAGGAACTCGTGGAGGAGCAAAAGTTTTCCCCCTCGGCGAGTAAGAGACTCCTGCTCGCGCTTTCGGGGATCCCATTGTCCAAAGCGGGTCAAATTCGACTCGGCGACTCCTCGTATTAGTTCTTTCGAAAATCCATTCTCCGAGACAGGTCGAATACTTTTTTCATAATCCCTATCTCGTCTCCTTTCAACCCCTCCATCGTTAAGGTGAAGTGAAACATCCTTCAAATCAGTCGATTCGAATACAACACTTTTTTTTAAGGGTATTAGACCAAACTGTCCGAAACTTTGACACATCACTCCTGATCATCTAAGAATAGTCCTGACACATTCAAAATTTGGATTTTTCAAACAAATTTTTTAACTCATGCCAGACCAGAACCAAAATGGCGTCGAGCTCTCATATTTCGATCAATATACAATTATCGAAGGCTCTCATATGAGAATCGAAAGGGTCAGGACAATTTTACGAGAATTTAGAACACTCTGGTAATCGATAAACTCGCATTTGAACGGGATAAAGGCAAAAAAAGTGTTGTATGCGCTTCTTTGCTAAAACGATGGTAATACGAGGTCTCGGAGTGAAAATTTAATTGACCTGGAAATCACAGATGGCGCAGGGGGTCCCTCCGCAGTCAATTAGGGCCCCAGAAGGCACGAATCCAGAGGATTTCTGGAGTTTTTCTTCGATTTCTTGATATTTATTATACGAAAACGACAGGTGGAATATGCCATTTGGTACAATACACAATATAATTCGACCCAGCTGTCAATATAAAAACCAACGTCGGCAACGTTGGCATTTAGAAAAATCTTCTTTATCGACGTTGATCAAGTTCCTCGACGTGTTTCACTTCACCTTAAAGTCACGTCGCTAAGGAAACTAATTTCCATAATTGAGTCGTTCCCGGGCGAAAGTTATGAACTCCACCCTGAGAAATGACATTTTATTCAACTGTAGAGATATATTGTTAATTCGGTATGTCGTTATTTCACTCAAACTGGAATAAATTGGATGCAATTTGAAAACGGTCCACCTATTTATGCCGTGATAATTAAAATGTCTCTGTATAAAAATTGGGAATAATTGAAATTACCAGGGAAATATTACACGCGAAATTTTCGCGATCGAGAGTCAACTTCAGAAGGAATACCCTAGATGAAGGTGCAAGTCCCAAGAGTGATTTTCTAATGCCCTGAAGAGAGGGCGGAAAAGTCCGTCGTTAGCGTCGCCTCGAAGAGCGGAGACGCGTTTCCGTCTGCACTTCGTCGCTTTTGAAGTTCCTCTCTCGAGGAAGAGGAGGAGGAGGAGGAGGAAACGCGAGAAAAAGGGAACTCGAAATGCGACCGAGAGACACCGCGCGAAATACATGACGGGAGTTGATGAAAGCCGGAAGTCAGTCGGGTCGTCTGGTTCCATTATTCAAGCAATTTATTCGCCGAGAGACAGTCGCCGTCTCCTTTCTCCTCCATCTCTCCTCTCCCTCTGTAGACATCTTCGGAATTTTACAGGGATTCGAGACGAGCCCTAAGATCTTCGAACCAGTTTCCATCGAACGAGAAAATCGGTCTTTGAGGTCGGCGTAAGAAGCATGCAAGCTTTTCTTCCGGAGCTTTGCAAACCCGAAGAAGTCTCCTAATCACCTTCGCGAAGAAATGTCACTTTTTATCTCTTTCGATTAAAATGCACTCGATAGTGGGTTTTACAAAGAGTGATCCCTCCAGACAGTACTCTGTCTTGTTATATTTTTATCACCGTGTTTTCATTATTTATCAATTATTTTCCTTCGTACACTTATCACGACGTAAATGGTTCCTTCAAGTCGCGTCACGCCTGAATATCTAAGAGTTAAATCTTTCTTATCGTTATTAAGGTGAAGTGAAACACGTCGAGGAACTTGATCAACGTCGATAAAGAAGATTTTTCTAAATGCCTCCGTTGCCGACGTTGGTTTTTATATTGACAGCTGGGTCGAATTATATTGTGTATTGTACCAAATGGCATATTCCACCTGTCGTTTTCGTACAATAATTAAAAAGAAATCGAAGTAAAACTCCAGAAATCCTCTGGATTCGTGCCTTCTGGGGCCCTAATTGGCTGCGGAGGGACTCTCTGCGCCATCTGTGATTTCCAGATCAATTAAATTTTCACTCCGAGACCTCGTATTACCATCGTTTTAGCAAAGAAGCGCATACAACACTTTTTTTGCCTTTATCCCGTTCAAATGCGAGTTTATCGATTACCAGAGTGTTCTAAATTGTCGTAAAATTGTCCTGACCCTTTCGATTCTCATATCAGACCCTTCGATAATTGTATGTTGATCGAAATATGAGAGCTCGACGCCATTTTGGTTCTGGTCTGGAATGAGTTAAAAATTTTTTTTGAAAAATCCAAATTTTCAATGTGTCAGGACAATTCTTTGATGATCAGGAGTGATGTGTCAAAGTGTCGGACAGTTTGGTCTAATACCCTTAAAAATAAGTGATGTATTCGAATCGACTGATTTGAAGGATGTTTCACTTCACCTTAATCAAATTTTCATAGACGACACTTTGCCGCGAGTTCATAATTTCACTTCATTTTTCTTTGCACTAAAATTGAGTGACCGGGGTCAGGTTGGGATCCTTCAGGACTCGCTTCAGGCGCGGAAAATCCGAGCCGATGGGGAATAACGATTTTTCCATTTTTCTAGAAGGGATTTCGAGGTGCTCGCGGCTTTCCACGCGTCAAGCCGTCGAATCCAAGAATCCGCCGAGCCGTGTCGATACGCGGAACGACAGGATGACGGATGTGATTTTTCCACGAGGCCGCGGTTCGCGTCATTCCCGCCTTTCCCCCAGAGAAATGGAAACGTTTCAGGGCGTCCGACGCCCAGGGCGGCCATTTTTGCCCTCCCCAAGGTGGAAATCAAAACGAGAAAGAGATCAATGGTGTCTGGCCGATTCCAGCCTGGGTACGAACATTTTTCCTCATTTTTTCGGCCCGGACATTTGGAGACATCTGACGTAGTCCCGTCGTGGGAGAGAGATCAATGGTGTCCTTTCCGGTCCCTTTGGGAGAAAATCAGGTCCTTCTCGAGAAGCCTCCTTTGAAGAGCGTATATTTTAGGACCAAACGATGAATTTTTTGCGGCATCATTTTCCTCGTCCCGAAGTGCTGATTTTGTTCTCTTTCTAAGCAAGAGCCGCATCTTGGTCCAGTTGATCGGCAAGAATCACCTTCTTCAGGTAGGAACCTCACGAGGGTATAATTCAGGACCAAAAGATGAATTTTTTGCGGCATGATTTTCCTCGTCCCGAAGTGTCGATTTTGTTCTCTTTCTAACAAGGAAGGTACCTGAGGTGTCCCCCTCCGATTTTGTTCATTTTTAAATATGTTATAGAGGACTAAAATCTAAGGGACTCGTGTTTTTTTTTATCGGCGGATAAACACTTTT